GGCTATTGTGGACATTGCTGCTATAAACATTTGGGTGCATGTGCCCCTTCAGATCACTACATTTGTATCTTTGAAGTAAATACCCAGTAATGCAATTGCTGGGTCATATGCTAGCTCTATTTTCAACTTTTTGAGGAACCTCCATACTGTTTTCCAGAGAGGCTGCACCAGCTTGCATTCCCACCAACAGTGTAAGAGGGTTCCCCTTTCTCCGCATCCTCACCAACATCTGTTGTTTCCTGACTTGTTAATTTTAGCTATTCTGACTGGTGTGAGGTGGTATCTCATGGTGGTCTTGATTTGTATTTCCCTGATGGTTAATGATGTAGAGCAGTTTTTCATTTGTCTGTTAGCCATTTGTACGTCGTCTTTGGAGAAATGTCTGTTCATGTCTTCGGCCTGTTTCTTGACTAGATTTTTTGTTTTTTTGGGGTGTTGAATTTGATAAATTCCTCATAGATTTTGGATACTAGCCCATCTGATAAGACATTTGCAAATATCTTCTCCCATTCCATAGGTTGCCTTTTGGTTTTGTTGACTGTTTCCTTTGCTGTGCAAAAGCTTTTTATCTTGATGAAGTCCCAATAGTTCATGTTTACCCTTGTTTCCCTTGCCTTTGGAGACATGTCTAGCAAGAAGTTGCTGAGGCTGTAGTCAAAGAGGTTGCACCTGTGTTCTCCTCTAGGATTTGGATAAATTCCTGTCTCTCATTTAGTCTCTCATCTATTTTGAGTTTATTTTTGTGTATGGTGTAAGAAAGTGGTCCAGTTTCATTCTTCTGCATGTCCAATTTTTCCAACACCATTTGTTGAAAAGACTGTCTTTTTTCTATTGGATGTTCTTTCCTGCTTTGTCGAAGATTAGTTGATGATAGAATTGCGGGTCCATTTCTGGGCTCTCTATTCTGTCCCATTGATCTATGTATCTGTTTTTGTGCCAGTACTGTACTGTCTTGATGATTACAGCTTTGTAATAGAGCTTGAAGTCTGGAATTGTGATATCTCCAGCTTTGGCTTTCTTTTTCAACATCACTTTGGCTATTCGGGGTCTTTCTGGCTCCATACAAATTTTAGAATTGTTTGTTCCAACTCTGTGAAAAAAGTTGATGGTATTTTGATAGGGATTGCATTGAATGTGTAAATTGACAATTTAGCCTGAATGTCTAATGATTCTACCAATCTTCCTTTCACCATCATCTCTATTCATTTTAAGAGTGCCCTTAAGCCTGAGGTCTCCACAGTCTATTCTAAGTGAAGCCAACATCTTGGAAGAGAAGGTACATTTGGAAGGTACATTTTCGGTCCACTTCTCCCTCCAGGCAAAATCTCTGAGCTAATGCTGTGGAGCTGGAGACAATGGCATGCTACTGATTTAGTGACACCACCAATTTAGGAGCTGGGCACTTGAGGAGTAGGGTAGAGACTTCAGGTCTTTTTGGCTGGCCTCTCCCTGTATGGAACCACCACTTTATGAGCCAGGGAAAGGCAGTCAGGGCCCTTGTATTCTCACTAGGCCATGCCTAAACTAAAGCCTCCATCCCACCTCTTAGCAACACTTGTCTGGAATTTAGCCTCACCAACCAGCAGCTGGGGGCAGCAGGAGAAACACTGCTGTGCCAGTCCTTGAGAGAAGATAGCTCTCTGACTGTGAGCTGGGAGGACAGGGAGAACTGTGTTGTCAGTTGCACCAGCCTAGAGTGGAGGTTTGGTCTCACTGATTAAGAGGGGAAAGGGGGGGAAGCAGATCTCAGTTCAAATACTATTATCTCTCACTGTTCTTACCAAATTTTGGTAGAGTTTTTGGAAAAAAAAAAAAGTTTCTTCATTTGCTAAATTTCCTTAGGACCATTTCCAGGGATTTTAAATGATTGTAGGGTTTTTTTTTTTTTAAATTTTGTTTTGTTTTGTTTTGGCGGTGGTGTTTTGTTTTGTTTTGTTTTGTTTTATCACTTTAACCAGTTTTTCTGGGGATAGGGCCCATAGAGCACTTCATGCTGTCATATTCGAAGTTCCTCTAACACTGATTTTTAATCAAGTGTCATCCATGCAGGGAAGGAAGTAATACTTTCCTGAACATAATCTTGACTTTGGAACCCATGTAAGTAATTTACATAATTTAAATAAAATTTTAAAAGAAATACCTAAAAGTGGAAAATAAATAAAAGAATCTACCTGTGTATCAGGTTGGTGGCATAACAACAGAGGAAAAAAACAATTCTTAAGTAACCTAAAAATAGTTTTTTGACCATACATACCTAGTGTCATATATCCATGATTTGCTGGAGCTACTTTACTGGAGCTAAATCAAATTACATTAATGTTATTAGGAACCAAGTTTTTTTTTTTATATAAGTGACATCAGTATACAATTAAAGAAAAGTAAAAACTCTATAATCTTACACTTGAGTTGAAAAAAATCAGCATGAATTCGAGACTTACTTCACTTAAAAAAAATATATATATATTAGCTCTGTCTGCTAAAAAGGCTTAGAACAAGCCTCTAGATGTAATTCCCATGTGATAGGAAATGCAAGAGATAGAGAAACATGTTAAATGATACCATGGAGATGCAATCAGCCCCATCCAGAATTTGGGAAATTCTAGAGGACAAGGGACCCCATTTCTTCCACAAATAAATTACAAGAAAAAAAGCAGAGGGAAAAGAAACTGTTAAAGTTAAAAGAGGGGCACCCGGGAGCTTCCGTTGGTTAAGCATCTGATTCGTGGTTTCAGCTCCGGTCATGATCTCAGGGTCCTGAGATTGAGCTGCGTGTTGGGCTCTGTGCTCCGCACAGTCTGTGTGAGATTCTTCCCCGTTTTCCCTCTCCCTCCGCTCCTCTCCCCACTTGGGCTCTCTCTCTTTCTCTCTCTCTCTCAAGTAAATTAAAAAAAATGTTTTTTAAAAAGTTCGAAAGAAACTTTAGAGACTTATACTATAAGCAGTGTAACTTTTTTTTTAAAAGATTTTATTTATTTTATTTGACAGAGATCACAGGTAGGCAGAGAGTCAGGCAGAGAGAGAGAGAGGAGGAAGCAGGCTCCCTGCTGAGCAGAGAGCCCAGTGCTCATCCAAGGACCCTGGGATCATGACCTGAGCTGAAGGCAGAGGCTTTAACCCACTGAGCCACCCAGGCACCCCCATTGTAAACTCTTTTTGAATACTGATTCAAACAAACCACCTACATATGAGACTCTTTGGGAATAATTAGGGAAATCTGAACACTGAACAGTTATTAGATGATATTCATAAGGAATTGGGTGTTTTAACAAATCATCAGGTGAGATGATAGCATTGTAGTTAAGTTTTTTAAAAGAGACTTTTGATGTTTTTAATCATATATTTTAATTTTTTGACTTGAACAAATGAGCCTCAAAAAATTATGAGATGTGGGGCACCTGGGTGGCTTAGTGGATTAAGCCTCTGCCTTTGGCTCAGGTCATGATCCCGGGGTCCTGGGATCGAGCCCTGCATCGGGCTCTCTCCCGATCTGGGGCTCGATCCCTGGACCCCGAGATCATGACCTGAGCTGAAGGCAGAGGCTTAACCCACTGAGCCACCCAGACACCCCATATAATGGAAAGTTTTAAAAATAAACAAAAAGTTCTATCTGTGATAAAGATATAACAGCCCTGAGGAGAAGAGTTGTAGGAAGCCTCGATGGGTAGGCAGAAAGACCCGGGGTGGAGGAGTCCGTGGCAAGTACTGCTGTGGGCAACCCCTATCCTAGCTCAGTTGCGACCAGGACCTAGCTGTGGAATGATTTATGTCTTCCTGGGAGCTTCTGAGCTAAGCAAGTGTCAGGATAAATAAAGTTCCAGTTCTGGTGTTTAATACTGGCTAAGTGAGACCCCATGTGACCAAATCCAACTTACTGTTCCATTTTGGCAACACCAGTCCAAATCTCAACCCACCCTACCAGACCCAGCTCAAGTCCCACCTTTTCTTAACTAACTGCATACCCACTAATCTCCCTTTGCCTATATTCTTATTCATTTTGTCTTCTCATTTGTTCCCTCATATTGTTAGCTGGTGGCTTCCCAATACATACTTTTCCAGCCTCCGTGTATACTCCTAAAACCAGGGACTATAACATACTTAAAAAATTCTTTCGGCCGCAAAAACAACACGATCCACAAAGCTAGAGCTCAATTAATACTTGAATGAAGGCTTTGAAGAGGCCAAAATGTAAAATACGTAACGGTGTATTGGGCAAAGCAGAGGGGGTGGGGCAACATGGCTCTTGATTCCTCTCTCCGGGGGTTTCAAAGACTCCATAGGCACAGCACCTCTATTCCTGTTATGAAGCTGCCGGATGCTTTGACCACCTCAAGTATGTCCAGCAAAAATCTGTGCCATTTGGCACTGCATAGGAGCTTGAAATAGCATTTTTTTTTTTAAGTTGGAATTTAAACCGAGTTTTTTGTCCTACTGTTTCTACACAGAGCAGGCCTGGGCTTTTCACTCGACCGTCCAGCAGGCTATGCTGTGCCCAAGGAGAACACACCTGCAAGGCTTGCGGCGAATACCTAAATAAAGTGGAACAGAAGGGAGGCTCGGGGTCTACAGTAATGCTGCCATGAACTCTGATTCAAAGGCACATTGCTTTTTCTTAGGCATCGCGGGCTTAAACGTTTAGATTTAGTGATTTAAAAACAGACTCATCCCAGCGAAAGAATAGAAATTACACAAACCTATGCGGGAACAAAGTATCGGGGACAACACTCTTCGAGGAGCACGCTGGAAATCAAAAGTAATAAATAGTAAACGTTTCCCCTTTGAGGGCTCTGGTCCTCACAGGTGACCACTACCACCTTACTCAGATAATTGTGCGGACGAGTGAAGGCGGACGGGGGACCAGTGGGCACCAAGAGTGTGCCCGCAATCAGCGCCAAGCCCAACCGCACTGGCCGGCCTGGCCTGGCACCACCGAGCGCGGACCTCCGCCTCGTCCTAGAGCGGCCACACGCGGTCACAGCCCGCGGCGCACTTCCGTCCGTGCCGGCGCCGCCCTGTGGACGGCTGGGCCTTGCCGCGGGCCTGCGCCTCCCTCGGCTCCGGCTGCGGGCCTCGGGGAGTGGGTGAGTGGGACAGGGCGCGCCGGAGAGGGGCGGGCCAGGGTCTGAGCTGCCGCCAGCCCCGCGTCCGCCTAGTGGGCTGATACGCGCGGGCAGGCACGCTTCCTCCGGACTCCTGGGGGGGGGGGGGGGGGGGGGGGAGGACCCCCCCCCCCGGGGGCGGGGGGGGGGGGGGGGTCCGGCGTGGACGACCCAGGCCCGGGGAGTCCCGGGGAGCGAGGACGCGCCTTGTCTACCCCCTACCCCGAGGCGGGAGCCCCCAGTCGCCCCGCGCCCCTGCCGCCGCCGCCCACCCCTATTCGGGAGACTGAGATTGACTTGGGGGAGAGCCTGGGCTCGAAGGTGGTCGGAGACCTAGCCTCCGGCCGGGACTCGGCCTTGGCCTCTCCATTTGTCTCTACCCGGTCCACGGTTCTTTCATCTCTAAAATGGAGGAAGGCAGTATCCGCCCTCCCGGTACCACAGGGTGATTGCAGGGTTGGCGCTGCCTCCATGGAAACTGGTTCTCAACTTGGCAACCTTTAGAGTCATTTGGGATGCCTTCCAGATGCTGAGTCCCCAGAATCACCAGGTGATTGTGATATGCAGCGGGGACGAGAAGCACTGGCCCGAGGAGTGTCAGGTGACAGTACTGGGGACGAGTGCTCTGTTCTCGGCCGGCCGGAATGTGCACTTGATCCAAGGTGGATCATAGCCCGGAGAGCAAGCGGCTGCTTTTATGTTCAAGAAGACAGGGACCCAATCTGGTCTGGTTGCTTTTTAATTCCTGGTGCCTCGAATGGTGCATGTCACAAAACATGGACCATTGATTAAGCAAATTTAACTTCTGATTCCTTCCCGACCTGGTGGAAGGGTTTTGGTTATTTGGCTCATTTTTAAACTTTTTATTATGGAAAATTTCAAACATAGGAAAATTAGATCAGTCTTGTTTCATCTGTTACCCTCACCTCACTGGATTATTTAAAAAGCAGATCTGAGTGTACCCTTTTATTCGCGAAATACTTGCTTATGTTTGTAAAACAGAATAACTCCTTTTTAAAACAAAGCCATTCTCGATTTGATAAGCATATCATGTTATCATTTATCCAGCCAGTGTTTACGTTTCCCCACTTGTCTCTTTTTCTCCCAATTCTCTTTTTATCCCATTTTCTCTTTTTAAGTTTGTCCAAATCCAGGTCCAAGCAAGCTACACATGCCACGTTTAGTTGACCTCTTTTCAATTTCATTTAATCTTATGGCTTTTTTTTTCCTCTTGTATTTTACTTGTTAAAAAAAAACCTATTCATTGTTCTGTGATGTTTCCTACATGTTGGTTTTTGCTTCTTCCATCCCATCCAAAGGTGGTGTCCTTTAATAAACTGGTGTTTGGATTACAGTTTTCTTCAGATTCAGGTTCTACTTTTCCGCAAGAAAACTTCATCGGGTTATTGTGTACTTCATACTGCAGCACACCAGGAGTTAGATCTTGTTTCTCTTTGTGGTGTTAATATTGGTCACTGGACCTTTTCTGTACAGATTGCACTGCAGGGTAACTAAATAATTTACCTAGGATTTACAGAAGGATGCCCCTAATAACTTCAGAAGAATGAGAGAATATCACCTTTTGGCAGCCTCTAATGAAATAGTGAATCCTGACAATGAACGTTAGTGGCTGTTAACCTCAGAAAGAGAGAGACAGCCAGACAGCATGAACTTCCTAATGGAAGTACCAAATACCACTTAATCAGGTATTCTTGGATAATTGCTGGGGGATATATACCAAACAAGATTGCCCATGAGTTGATAATTGTTGAAGCGTGGTGATGGTTACATGGTAATGCATTACACTAATCTCTCTACTTTTGTGTTTGAAATTTTTCATAATAAAAAACATTTTTTTTTAAGATTGACTTCTTGACTAGTAAATTTAGGTCAGCCTGATGTATTCTTTGTAGTTCTCCGTTAGCCTTTCACTAAGTGATTCTCAAACCTGACTGCACATTAGAATCATAGGGGAAGAATTTTTTTTTTTTTTTTTAATACTAAAACACATGTCTTACTTGCAGAATTCCTTTTTAATTGTTCTGGGATGGAGCCCAATTATTGATATGGTTTAAAAGCTCTCCAGGTAGTTCTAATACGCTCAAGGGTTCTGTACCAGTGGCCTAGACCCATTATTTGTTAAGGATTGCAAAGTGATTATATTTTATTATTCCTTCTGCATTTATTAGCTTTTAAAAATGTTTAACTTTCCACATTCTGTTATTCTCACCTCTGTTGAAAACTGCAATCCAACAGGAAAGCCTCTGCAAATTAAATTACCTAATTATCAGGGGAAGGCTTGATCTTGGAAGTGAAAGTGTGGAGTAACACATGGAAGGGACACTAGCAATTACCTAAAACCTGTGCATGGGTTGGAGAGATATACCATCTGTATGTGTGAGGTGTGTGTGGGGCGAGGGGGTAGGAGGGCTGATTGTATCTCCAAATAGTAAGAAAGATTAGGTGATGTGTAGTTAGAAAAGTATGTTCAGCCTTATGACACATTTCTTTTAAATAATCAATATTAAATAAATTAAATATAAAATACATTGAAAATAAAGACATCAAATGGTTTTCATTGCAACCAAAACTAATCCAAAGATTTAAAAGAAAACTTAACCACTCCGCACCATCACCATTTTAATCACCCCTGAGATAACCAATATTAACAGTATGGTGTATATCCTTCCACACAGACCTTCTCTGTCTTATGTAAATGCAGCAGTTCAGGGCATTTTAAAAATGAGATCATGCCATAGCCATCTATACCTTTTATCATTGTCATCCCTCCAAGACAAGAGTTATAGACCTGACTTAAGTGCAGAACAAATAGTTCTGAATGTACAATAAAATATTCAGTCATTTCCCTGTTGAAATATATTCAGATGGCTTCCAAATTTTAGCCACCTTAAAAGAACCACCAGAAACATCACTGTACATAGGTCCTTTATTTCTGTAGGGTAGATTCTCAAAAATGTGGTTGTGGGTTAAAACGTGTTGATAATAGCAGCATCGTTATTTTTGGTAATGTATATTGCCAGCTTACTCTCCCAAAACACAAAAGCAGTGTATACCTCCACCACTAGTAATACGAGAATACCTTTCCCCCTGTGCTTCACCTACTCATTCTTCCCTCCTCCCCAAACCACTGTCAACCATTGGTGTTTTTATTATCTCCATAGTTTTACCTTTTCCAGAATATTAAATAGTTGTGGTTCAACTATAGTTTTTAATTGACTGGATTTGGCAGTTTTTTAACTTGTTTTTGTGTGTGTGTGTGTGTGTGAGCAGTCATACAAGGTTTGGTAACTTGTGGTTTTAACTCACTAAGAGTTATTAGAATCTTACTTGGTGTTTCTTTGGGAAACTATTAGGGAGCAAGAATCCAGTCTTTTCTGAATAATTTTATAAATACTACTTACGGATAACATAAATAACAGTAAATCTCAAAAGAACATGTTTTTGGTGATTTTGAGCCGTGATGTGTAATAATCCCTGGATGATCTTGTCATTGCAGGGTGGAAGATGTCTATGGATGTGACATTTCTGGGTACGGGTGCAGCATACCCTTCCCCAACCCGGGGTGCCTCTGCTGTGGTCCTTCGGTGTGAGGGCGAGTGCTGGCTCTTTGACTGTGGGGAGGGGACGCAGACACAGCTTATGAAAAGCCAACTTAAAGCAGGTTAGTGTGCTTTCAGCTATCGCATTAAGACTATTTGTTATTCATTGTCTTGGCTCTCCTTGGGCCTTTTGCTCAGAAAGAGCCCCAAGAGTTGCATTCCCACCTCAGTGCTAGAGCCCTGGCCAGATTCGCAAGGCCCTCAGGCATCCAGCCACATCCACTGAACTTTGTTTATTTAGTTTTTGTTCTTCCTGTAAATGTTGAGAGCAAGGATTTATAGAAGCTTGGGGGTGGAGGATGGAGTGGGATACATGAGGCATATTACATAGATACTCCAGAAGCAGAGGAGCAGTGTACACACTTATTTCCACCAGGAGGTAGTTGTAAGTATCGTAAGAGGGTATAAAGAGCTGTAGATACTCAGGAGAGTGAGATGTTCTTTTTCATTTGTGGTTATCAGGGTAGGCATCTAAAAGAAGGTGACCCTTGAGTTATCGGAGGAGGAGGGATTCGCTGGGCTGGGGAGAAGATGAGCATGCCAGCCAGAGGCAATGGTGTGAGCGAAGACCCACCAGAGTACTCCACCAGGCCAGGGAATGCAGTGGTACAAAGCCTTGGCTCAGAGTCAGACCAACCTGGGTTGCAGCCCCAGCTATGTCTTGGCTTATAGCCTTAGCAGATCCACAGACTTAAGCTTTATTTTCTTAACCTTGAAAATGAAGATAAAAACTCAACTTAGAAGGGATGTTGTAAGAGTTATATATAATAATCCCTTCTCTGTGTGCTTGTCTCTCATCAGTAAATCTTAGTTCAAATGCCATCTCCTGAACCTCTGGGGTTAAGTTATTCCTTGTTCATCCCAGGTCTTCTACTTCTTTGTGCTATTTTTATTGATTTCCTAGCATCAGTATCTAAGATTGTTATTTAAATAGTTGTTTCTGTGTTTATTGTATGTTGCCCTGTATGATAGAGTAAGCTCAAGGATTGTTTGTATACCTAGTAGATGTCTAATAAACAATTCTTCAGGTGATGCGTGAGTAAGGTATTCAGCACTTAGTATGTGCTTCTCACTTACTAGGTCTTGATAAATGATAGTTATTGAAATTATTCCTGTGATTCATTACAATGTGTGCCATTGATGACTGAAATAAAGTTAGTTCTAACATCTAAGGATCTCATAGTCTAGTGGTGGAAATTGGTATGTGAATAGACATAGTGTAATGTGATAAAGAGAACAGTGGAACTATATTCTAAATACTGTTGGAGCACAAAGGAGGGGGGCATCAGCTATGTGTTCAGAGAAAGCATCTCAGAAATTGTAATAGTAGAGCTAGGATCTAACTGATGATTAGAAGTCTTCTCTGGTGAGAAAAGTAGGGATGCACATTGTACACACACACACACACACACACACAAATATACCTATACCATTAACATCTCTACATCTACAAAAAAATTTACCTATAAGAGTGGAGGCTGTAATCTTTCACATTTTAGACAATAGGGATTGAGGGTGTGGGGTGATGAAAACAGAAACAAGAAACTGTTAAGTGTGGGTGCCAGAGGTTTGGGTGTGGGGATAGTCTTTTTATTTAATACCTGTACCACTTATCAGTGCTGCATATCAGATTACAAATTTAGTGTCTTACTTGCAGTTATTATCCATAGTTTCTGTGGGTCAGGGAGTTTGGGCCTGGGTTGGCTGGGTTCTCTGCTTCAGGGTCCCACTGGGTTGCAGTCCATGTTTGGCCAGGGTTGAGCTCTCATCAGAGGCTCCACTGGGGGAGAATCTGCTTCAGAGCTCACTAGAGTTGTTGGGAGAATCCTTACAGTTGTAGGACCAAGACTGGCACAGATCCTAGAGGCCTCTGGTTCTTGATCATGTTTGTTTTGCTTCATGGTAGTTTGGTCCCTTACTGCCAGCCAGGGTGAAAGAAACTCAAGAGCAAGCCTGCTAGCAGGATGGAGTCTTCTAATGTAATCCACCGTATCCCTGTGTCATATTTGCCTGGTTAGAAAAGTCACAGGTCCCACCCACACCGAAGAAGAAGGAATTGTAGAGGGACGTGAACATCAAGAGGTAGGGGCTGTGGACCGCCACCTCACGTCTATTTGCTACAATACCTTTCTCCAATATTTTATATTTTATATATGTTTTATTATTTTTTTTTAAATTTTTTAAAGATTTTATTTCTTTATCTGACAGAGAGATCACAAGTAGGCAGAGAGGCAGGCAGAGAGAGAGGGGGAAGCAGGCTCCCTGCCGAGCAGAGAGCCCGAAGCGGGGCTCCATCCGGAGCTCAAGACCTGAGATCATGACCTGAGCCGAAGGCAGAGGCTTAACCCACTGAGCCTACCCAGGCGCCCCTATATATGTCTTAAGTAAACATTTTTGCAAAGCGAAGCCTCACAAAGAATAAATATAATAAAGCCTAAGGGGACCTTTAGTTTACTAAATTCTTACTGGCTAAAAAAATTCCTGGCCTCGGAGAAGAGGGTAAGATGATAATCACAGAATCTTAACTATGACTCTATAGCATTCCAAAAGCCCCCATTCTCAAACTGGAATGGAGTACTCAGTTCATCCCGTACTCTCAACGCAATACGGACCTACCATTATTTGATCCGTTGAAACCCTTTCAGCTTGTAGTCCTCCTGGGGTAATAATATTTTATGAGTTTCATAAGGGATTACTTTTTGTTTATCTAAACATACTTCTTTTAAGCTTCCTTCGTCCTCATGTGCAAGCATCTGATCAACGAGTGTGGATCAGTCATGTCTATTTCTTTCATAATTTTATTTTATTTTTTAATTTTTTTTTTAAGATTTTATTTATTTATTTTACAGAGAGAGAGAGAACACAAGTAGGCGGAGTGGCAGGCAGAGAGAGAGGGGGAAGCAGGCTCCCTGCTGAGCAAAGAGCCCGATCCGATGCGGGGCTCCATCCCAGGACCCTGAGATCATGACCTGAGCTGAAGGCAGAGGCTTAACCCACTGAGCCACCCAGGCACCCCTATTTTTAAATTTTTTTAAGATTTTATTTATTTATTTGAGAGAGAGAGAGACCATGAGAGGGGAGAGGTCAGAGGGAGAAGCAGACTCCCCGCAGAGCAGGGAGCCTGATGTGGGACTCTATCCTGGGACTCCAGTATCATGACCTGAGCCGAAGGCAGTTGCTCAACCAACTGAGCCACCCAGGTGCCCTCTTTCATAATTTTAAAGCGTGAGCTTAAGCCTTCCTTTTTCTTCCCTTAAAAATGATTATTTAAAGTATTACAAAAGTGTAATGAAATGATTATAAAAAGTATACATGTGGGACACCTGGCTGGCTCACTCAGAGGCGAATATAAGTCTTGATCTTAAGGTGGTGAGTTTGAGCCCCACATTAGGTGGAGAGGTTACTTAAATACATAAATAAAAACTTAAAAAGGAAAGGTATACATGCTCATTGTAAAAATTCAAACAAAGCAGAAACATAAAATAAGCCTGAATTCCCCTTATAGGTAAATTTTTTTTGTAGATGTGGATATGTTAATGGCATAGGTGTATTTGTGTGTGTGTATAGTTTGCATAAATGGTATCATACCAGGCATAACCTGCTTTTTTTCGACTGAACAATTATATTGCAGGTGTTTTCCTATGATGGTAAATATAGCCGTGTCCTAAAAGGATGTTTAGTGTTCCACTTCTCTGTGGATGACATATACCTCTGTAACTTCCTTGTCCTCAAGTGAAAGGGAATTCATGTACTCTGCTTTCTTCATTTGATAGCATCTTCTAACTTTGATCATTATGGTTGCCATTCCTTCTCACTCTGAAATCAAGTTTCTTGACAAATGAAATGTTTGTCTTCCCTGAAACTGTGATAACTGTGGGAAGAAATTTTTGACTTAATTTGTCTCACTTACTTTGGGCTCACAGATTCTTTTGGTGTTCAGTGTTGGCTTTGTTGTGCGCTATATAGGGAGAGGGCCCAGAACGTCGGACTCTGCAGTTGTAAGGTCAGCGTGAGGTCATGACTCAGTAACCATCATAGTTCTGTCTGCAGAGGACTCAGGTCACACTTACGGGTGCTTCAGCAGCCCAGACAGCAGGAAGGGGGGAATGAAAGGGTTACAAGAAGTCTAAAGACAGTAAAAGCAAGGCCTTAAAAGAGAAAACTAAAGGGAGCATACTGAGGAAAGTTCTAGAGTGCGTCAGGATTCTCTAGATACCAAATCAGCCTCTGTCCATTCTATTGTTCCTGCCACTAGGGCCTGGGTTTGGTGTATTAACTCTGGAAGGCTTACCTGGAGAACACTTTTGCCTTGATGTTGCTGGACAAATCACTTTGCAATAAACTATTCTTATTCTTTTATGGTATCAGTATACTGGTCCTGTTCTCTTACGGTATAAAATATTTGAAATAGGTGCCCCAAGAAGCTAGGACTAGAAGCCTCTGTTATACCAAAATTGTGTTCATTGTGATTGTTAATTTTAAAATGCCTTGGTGCATCTCAGAAAATTGCTAATGTGGCATCCTGTACATACCAACTGTAAATTCAGTTTACCATTGGCTAAGTCAAGTTACAACCTAAGCCAGTATGCACTGAAAAAGACATTGTGTTAGCTCACACTGAAGAGAAGGGATGGGCCCACATACCTTTACATAACACCATAGGGGATCCGCCCTCTGATCTACATTGTAGCGTCTGTTGCCCACCTCCCCTCTGGGTTCTTCACCCCTATCCTCTCCCACCTCCTTCTTTCTCCCTCCTGCCTCATCATCTTCCTTTTTCTCCTCCCTCTTCAGACTCACTCAGACAGGCAGGCTTTTTCTTGGTTAGTTAATCTCTCGTCCAGTGTGGCGAGTCCTTAAATGGTAGTTTGGGGTTCAAGCATTGGTCAGGTTGGAGCCAGGGGAGCGTTTGTTTTGCTGGAAGTACGTATTTGTTATTCTCAGAGGAAGCAGCAGAGGGCATTGTAACTGTCAGATGCTTTTGACATTTGAGGCCTGTCTAGTTTAAGTCAACTATTTTAGTACACTTTCTTATTTTTCTCTATTACTTCCTTTTCTTTTCTCTTCTCTTCTCTTCTCCTCTCCTCTCCCTTCCCCTCCCCTTCCTTCCTTTCCTTTCCTTTTCTTTTCTTTTCATTCAGCCTGCCTGCCTGCCTGCATTCTTCCCTGCTTTCCTTTCTTTCAGCAAGAAGATAATACTCTTAAAACTACAGTACTATGTAATTTGAAGATGTTTCATTAAAAAAGTTATATCTTATTAAAACCATAAAGGCTGTCTTTCTTGCTTCTAGAATCATGTAGCAAAATACAAAGAAATAAGTTTATGGTGATAAATAGAACTCCAAATTCATTTTGCTGCTTTCGGTGTTTTAAGTAGCATTGCATGGGTTTTTACTTCTGGAAAAATTGCAAATTTTATTTCTCTGCCTCAATCAAAAGGGAGAATTACCAAGATCTTCATCACACATCTTCATGGAGACCATTTCTTTGGCCTTCCTGGCCTCCTTTGCACAATCAGCTTGCAGAGTGGTTCTGTGGTCACCAAACAGCCTATTGAAATCTATGGCCCTGCTGGGCTTCGAGACTTTATCTGGAGAACCATGGAACTCTCTCAAACAGAGTTGGTCTTCCCCTATGTGGTCCACGAGCTGGTGCCTACAGCAGATCAGTGTCCTCCAGAAGAACTAAAAGAATTTATGCACGTGAATAAAACAGACAGCCATCCCAAAGAGGGACAAGGAAGAACTATCCTTTTAGACTCAGAAGAAAACTCATACCTTTTGGTTGATGACGAACAGTTTGTTGTAAAAGCATTTCGCCTCTTTCACCGAATTCCCTCCTTTGGGTTTTCAGTTGTGGAGAAGAAACGCCCAGGTAAACTCAATGCACAGAAACTAAAAGACCTCGGTAAGTGATGTTTTTGTTTTGTTTTGTTTTGTTTCCCCCTCCTCCTCATCAATTAAGCTGTTGTTAGCTGAAGCTGCTAGAAGTGTCATAATAACCTTCGTTTCCTGTCTCCCAGGCCTAAAACTGAGTTTTTCTCCACTTATGTCTTTTGCCCAAAGTTTGTTTATTAAGGGAAATATGTGGGGCCCAAAGATGCTATTCAGACCCATACCCACATATATATGTGAATCCTTTTCTCTTCAGCTCCCTGGATCCACATTTTAGTCTGTTTTACTTTAGCTAGCTAGCTTGGTTGGCAGGGTGGTGGTGGTTGTCTTAGGTCTAGACTTTTATGTTTTCATGTCTTCCTTCTGAAGTATGTTTTCAGTGACCTCTTTGGCCCGAGTATTTTTACTGTAGTTGGTAGCCGTGCAACTGCAACCAGCTACTTTTAGGGTTTTCCTTCTTTGTCAACCTTGCTTACTCATTCAACCTTGATTAAGTTAATCTGGTGTTCAGAACACCATGCCTCAACTGTTTCACACGCCTGGGTTCGTCATAGGTGGGAGCTAGCACACAGAGACAGACTTGGGCCCCCTCTGAGGCTTTGTACCTCCTCCAGTCCAGGCTATCTTGCATGAGGGGGTCTTCAGTCCTCTCAAAGCAGCGTCCAGGTCCCTTCTACCCGCAGCATCACTGCCTTCCTTTTCATGGCCACAGCAGAGCCCCTAAAAAGCATGATGGTGTCTTTTGTATATTTGTCTCTTTATACAATCTCTTCCTTCTTCCCCAACTAAAACAAAATACTAAATAATGAAGAGAAGTGACTTATGCCAAAGGTATTTTTTTCTTATCTAAAAGCCTGTGGAAATGCTATTGTATTGGGAAACTTTAAACAGGGTGCATGCTGGAATTAGTGAACACTTTCTGTTTGTTTGTTAGGTGTTGTTCAAAGTGATGGTCATGTGTTGTTATAGATGACTATAAGATAATTAATACAAGAGGAACTGCCTCTGTCCACAAAGAAGATAGATTATGTATGATTGTCAGAAATGTTCCTTGATCTTGTGATCCAAATGATCCTCTCAAACCATTTTTTTTTATTAAGTTAGTCAGTTTGTAGGTACTTTGTCATTATTTAAATGGACTCATTAAATTTACTCAAACATGAGCTTGTTCAATAAAGCAGTCTCAGAAACTGTTACTCCATTCATAGCAGAGAATCAAAGCTGTAGCTTGATTGTAAGAAGGTCTTAGTCTTAGTGGGACTTAAAAGCTCAAAGCTCATCTGACACGTGTGCTTGGGAGATGTTTTAAGTACTAGGGCATCACTAATATCAACAGCCAACACCGAACTTTTAAAAATGTATAAATATTCCAGCTTTCCACGAGTAGTAAAATATTTATAACAATTATGAAAAGAATTGGATGCCTTTTCCATTTGCTGTGCTGTTAAAACAGACTCTCTTAACAAGTCATAAATTCCATTCCCATGATGTGATGTTATCTCCCTCCATCATTAGGTGTGCCGCCAGGTCCTGCCTATGGGAAGCTGAAAAATGGAATTTCTGTTGTTCTGGAAAATGGAGTTACAATTTCTCCCCAAGATGTCTTAAAAAAGCCTATTGTTGGAAGAAAAATCTGCATTTTGGGTGACTGTTCTGGGGTTGTGGGTGATGGAGGAGTGAAGCTGTGCTTTGAGGCAGACCTGTTGATCCACGAAGCAACCCTAGATGACACGCAGATGGACAAAGCGAAGGAGCACGGCCACAGTACACCACAGATGGCAGCCACGTTTGCAAAGTTGTGCCAAGCGAAGAGGCTAGTTCTGACTCACTTCAGTCAGAGGTACAAACCAGTTGCCTTGGCCAGAGAAGGAGAAACAGATGGGATTATAGAACTAAAAAAGCAAGCTGAATCAGTGTTAGATCTCCAAGAAGTGACTCTAGCCGAAGACTTTATGGTGATTGGCATTCCACTCAAGAAATGAACCCGGTATTCCGGGATGCATGCTGACATGTCCGTGAATATGTTACTGAACCAGCAGTCAGGTTGGCTGCTGTGGTGCTGGTGGTGGTTGTGGTTGGTGTTTTGGTCTAAGATTATTTGGGTCCTAATCATCCTAAAAATTGCTGAACTGACTCAGCAGCAAGAGAGAGCAAGCTTTTTGATAATAAATCATTTTAAAAAGAAAGAAAAAACCAGCGCCTTTCTTAAAGACCAAATTTGACAAAATGATAGACTATTCAGGTATACTTTTTGTTTTGTGGTTGCTGCCTCAGATACAAGGCAGTACCCCCATGCAGTTCTGGGCTTGCTTCTGCCCAGGTTTATTGGTGGTGTTGGCAAAGTACAGAGAGCTCAGCCCTCTGGGCTAAAAATGGTGTTTTAGCAGTTTGTTGAATCTGTCCATGTTATTAACAGAACAGAGAAAAATGTAATGAGACAGTATACGTGCAGGATTGAAGCTAGCATATTAAATCACGATTTGTGTGCTGGAATACTGAATGCAGAGTCAAGGTCGGTGTTTATCCTTCAATTAATGTTTTTTGGAGCTTTCTGGTTCGTTCTAAACCTGTGGGTCTCAGCCGGGGGTGATACCATTGCCCTAGAAATTATGGGGGTGTTTCTTGTCAAAATGATGGAGTGGGGGCTGGAGAAGAGTATCATTAAAATTTAGTCAAAAGGGGCCAGGGCTGCTAGATCCTACAATGGTGGGGTCAGTCTTGTACGATGAAAAATGATCTCACCCCAAGATGCAAATTGCAGGCCTATTGAAATACACAGCAAGTTAAAAATTATACTCCCAGTGTGAATATGCTTTATCAAAATTAATGACATGAATTGAACTGGTTAAGTCAAATTCTTGAAACAAACATTAGAGAACTAGCTAAGGAGATGTTGGGGTTGTAATACCATGTCAGATATTTGACAGAAATGAGCCATGAACTATAACTTAGGAATCTGGAGGTAAAGAAATTGTATCTTTTAAGCTGAGGTTTAATTTATGTGTCCCTATGAATAATTCTTTGAGCTCAGTTTTAATAACCTAGCTTTTCCTTCTGAGCTGCCTTCCACCTCCCTTCTGTCTGCCGTGGGATATCTCTGACTCATTTGACCCACAGTATTTCTCAAAATGGAAAGCTAGTCTCAAGCACAGATTCATTCAAAAGGATTTCCTTATCACAGTTTGGGAAACGCTTTATGTTGTGTGTCCCTCTGGAGGCGTTCTCGTGCCCATCAGTATCATAAAAACAGTACTGCTTGAATGATCACAAACCTGTCTTTGGTGCCAGAAAGACATGATTTCAGAGTCCCGTTCTGTACCTTGTGGTCTGCAGATTACTTAGTGTTTGTGAGCTTTAGCTTGCTCATTTCTAAAATGGAAAAACTAGTAAGACCGACTGTGTAGGATCGCTGTGAAGATTAAGACAGTGCATAAAAGGAACATCGCACATTGCTTACAGGTGCTGAGAAGTCCTGCAGTAGAGGGGCCTGTCAACTGTTTTGAACCCCTTTCTCAGTACTGTTCCACCACATACTATCTGTTAACCTTTCAGGAACCTTGAGAGTTTTATAATAGACATATTTAGAAATTCTATCATGGTATATACTGTTAAATTCTTTTGGGTTCTGGGGCTTCTCTCATAAAACCTTTTGACTCCTGGGTGGTTCTAGAGTCTCTAGAGTAGTGATAATCAAGATGGGTCTCATTACGCAAGATCTCAGTCATTCTGAAGCAGTTTCCAGAATGGTCTGATTCTACCCTACTCTAGACTCTTGGGCCACCAAAGTTTGACTAGCTTAAAATGTATCCTGGTTTCTGAACTCAATTAAAAGTATTTATTAGATGCCTAATGTGTGCCCAGACCTGTACATCCGGTAATGGCTGGCTGGTAGTCCTACTGTATGGAGCTCTTAAGGGTAAAGACTATATCTTAGTCACCTCTGCATTCTTGGAATTACCGACTCTCAATAAGCACTCAGAAATGTTTATTGAATGAAATGAGGCCTGATATATGACTGCATAAACTTTAGGACCTAAAGTTTAGGACTTGTGCCTAGCCCATTTCATTATTGCATTTGTCCAAAAAATTTGACCACCTGTCTGGTGGTGCTCTGTTCAACTGAGTACCAGCTAAGTGCCAGTACCAGGTTTTAATGCGTTGGGACTACGTAAGTGAATGTAAGACAAAAATTTCAGGCTCACTGTCTAAGTGGTAGATACAGATAGTAAAAAACAAAAGTAAATATACGGGTCCTTCAAGTACTCTAATCTTGTGGCCTGGCCCTCACTTTTGCTCTTCTTGAGCATTCTTTGGTAGCTGACTTGAGCTGTGCCCTTAGAGTCAGGCCCTACTACTATATGGGCTAAGCCCTCAGAGACCGTGGGAATGTGGGAACAAATTGATACAGTGAATCAATCAAGCATAGGCTATAGATCCATGCTGAGAATTGCTTCTTAGGCCCTCTTCTGACCTAGAATTTTTTTCTTAGTGGTAGGCCACATTCTAAGAATTTGTGGAGCTAGAATTATGAATGAAGCTTATACTGGACTTCCCAGAGCCTGTAATCTGCTCATGGTTATATGACTCTAAGAGGGGATTAGAAAATGTATTGTACACCAAACTTACTTGATCACTGAATTCTCTTTCGCCAAGGAACATCTTGGAACACGGAGAAATATTATTACCTAATAACTTCTCAAAATTATTATATTTACATTTTTTAACCTGTACAATTTATTGAGGTAATGAATTCCATTTCTCTGCTTAGTGTTTTCCTTATCATAAACTGGCTCTTCAGTTGTCAGGGATTTAGAAGTACCTGCTTACTTTAGATTTCCAATGCTCAGAAGGTGTTTAGACTTGCCCAAGTAGACCCCAGATCTGCTCTGTTTTTCTAATTCTCATGCTTCATTAATACACTTCTAATGAGCTTTTATTTATAAAAAGCAGCATACGCTTGATAGATAATCTTTTTTAAGGATTCCAGAAAGAAGATGATTACTCATCATTCTACCACCCTGAGAGCAACTACTTCTTGCTCAGTGGTGTTCAAATGAAGGTATGAGTCAGTATCAGTCAAGGTAGTACGTAGGCAGACAAGGTAGTACGTGGGTGGACAAGGGTGTGTAGGTACGCAAAAATACTTGGGCTGTGATTCCAAAACCTCTAATTCAGTTGGTCAGGGGTAGAAACCAAGGATCTGCATTTTTAGCAAACCCTCCGTCTGGGTGATTCTGAGACATATGGGTAGCAAACCACACTGGGAGAAAAAACTGTCTTTTTCTATGCACTAAAAAAAAAAAAAAAAATCGAGTGTGCATAGATATTTTATATATATTTAAATATACTATGTTTATATATGTTTGTATGCTTTTACATGTAGGTTGACCTCAAATGTTTTTCTCATTTAACATTATCAGCCTCTTCCATGATGTTAATTGTTCTTTGAAAGCATGAATTTAATGATTTTATAGTATTCCATTCTATAGATGTAACATAATTTTCCTACTTTGGAGGCATTGAGATTGTTTTCCATTATATATAAATAATACTATCGTGAATATTCCTGGGCGTAAATCTTTGTATCTCTGCATATTTCCTTAGGGTTGATTTATTGGAAGCTCAAAACACCTGACTTGTCCTTTTAGACTCTGCATGGGAATCACCTACTTGTTTTCTAGCTCACATTCTGCAGCAACAAGAGAGAGGCCTATTTCGCTCCTCTACGGGTGGAGGATACAGTTCATCAATTAATGACCTTTCGAACACTTCTCTTCTAAGACATTTGTCTTATAAAGGTTACTTTGGCCTCCTTGTGCAAAAAGCTTTATTATGTCTTTTAACCAGCATATGTAATTCAACTGTAATTTCCTTGAATATTCTTATGCCAACTTCAAAATTTGAACAGTTTTTACTTAATGGGGTACACGTTTTTGCTGCTTCAAATATGTTTATGACTGATGTATAGGGAAGGTACTTCTGTCCTCACAAAGATACCAATTTATAGTGAAATGTAGCGGTTCTGTCCTTATTGATTGATGGATTTGTCAGGTAATGAATGACTCAGAGTATCTTTTCTTACATAGGAAGAATAAAAAGGAAATGCGAGTAATGCTTCAAATGCTCACTCTTGGCAGGATAAGAATAGAGTTTGGGCATGGTGGGACATGGGGTAAGCTCAAGAAATTCTTGTCTTCCCTGGTAGAAAGTAAACGATGCTTAAAACTAGAAAATAAATAGCACTTTAAGCAAATCATGTTAAAAGAAAAAAGAGGGATTGTAGTAAATACCAGATGACTAGTTACGAGTAGAGGAAGGGATCCTTAGTGGAAGGTGTACGGGGTGTGAGGAGGGATGGTCAGAGGACTACTGTTTTTTACGAGCCTAACAGTACCAGTTCTAGTTGCTATTTTGAACATTTTATGTGTGTATATATTCATTTAGTTTAAAAATTATTAAAACACACCTCGATATGATTATTCTAAATAAATAAATATTTAGAATAATCATGTCAGTCGCTGGTTTCCACATGGATGCCTCAGGTACTTGACAGCTCCCCACAAGCCTCTTTTACATTCCAGGCCGGGGCGCCTGGGTGGCTCAGTCTGTGAAGCAGCCAACTCTTGATTTTGGCTCCGGTCATGGGCTCAGGGTCGTGGGATCCAGCCCTGCGTCAGGCCCCATGTTCAGCAGGAGATCTGCTTGAGGATTCTCTGTCCCTCTGCCCCTCCCACTCATGCTCTCGCTCCAAAATAAATAAATAAATCTGTAGGAAAAAAAAAGAGAACATCCCAATCCTTCCTCTATATTGCAAAGAGACTTCAACATGCAAATCTGAGCGTAGCATCCCCCACTTGAAACTTGCCTTACCCACCGTTTGCGACCTAATTGCTTTCCACAGTGCCGTTCATTTTTGCAGCTGCAGCCACGTGGGCCGCCTTTTAGTCCTTTGTCAGAGGTTTCTGTTGTTGCACAGTCTTTGGGAACTTCTCCCTCTGCTTGGAATGTTCTTTCTCCTTCCC